TTAAATAACTTTTTTCTATATAAATATATAGTCGCTTGGCTTAGTTTTCGAGATATTTGCAAAAAATGATATTAATACAATAAATTGAATTTTGCCTAAACATCATGACATTATTAAATATGATCGGCATTTATTATAATTATACATTATTATTATTATAACTCATATTTAAAATATGTTTCATGCTTGGTTTTTATTATTGTTATTTTGGTCACTATAATTTTATTTGCTCAAGAATTTTTATAATTTTTGCATTCTGTAAATTCTTTAAATTCCAAATTCTTAATGGATAATTTTTATTGGAATTTCATATATATAATATAATAATTTAATATAATAATATATATAATAATCATTTTTGTAAATATTTTGAAAATTAAAATTAAGCAATGATTATATGTATAGGAAAAGTTGAAAAAACTTGAAAATCTTGTTTTCTATGATATATTTAAAAATTATCAAAAATCATAAGCGTCATACATTGATAAGTTTACCTATATTTTGTTTATATGTTTGCACAATGAAGCAAAGAATATTATATTACTAATACATTCGGAAAGAATGCTATTTAACCTGCAACGAGGTTATATGATAAGTATGAATACATATAGATGTTATGCATACATGAAATTAACATATTCTGTTAAAATTTTGCATAATTAAAATATATATTGCTTTTAATATAAATAAATAAGTAAATATATATAATAATAAATAAATGTGTGTATATATGATACACACACGCGCGCGCACACATACAGCACACACACACACACACACACACACACACACACACACACACACACACACACACACACAAATTTTTAGCTCATATAACAAAATTTTATAAAATACTTAATTTTCTTATTGTACTTCGTTTCATGATTCATGTTTTCATATTTGAAAATGTGTTTCCAAATAAAACACGGTAATTTGTACATCGTAATATATTTTGTTCCAACTATATTAGTAAGATATTAATTTCAGTTTTAATAATATAAATTTGAATGTCGAAATTTTCTTCTTTTTAAAATTCATTTATTGAATAATCAATTTATAACATAGATTTTCAGATGAATATTATCTGCACGAAATTAATTGAATATTGATAATATTATAAACAAAAGCAATTGAGAAAGATATTTTTTTCTTGATCATTAATTTTTTTAAAGTTTTCAAAGTTCTATTTCACGTTTTGAATACAAAATATTACAGTTTTGAATTTGTGAGAGAGAGAGAGAGAGAGAGAGAGAGAGAGAGAGAGAGAGAGAGAGAGAGAGAGAGAG